CACAATCGATTTAACGTAATATTAAAAAGCCTACACGTGTTTACTTTTAATTTGCTAAACTAACGATAGAACATTTAAGCATTTAATTACCATGATAATTGACACATATTCTTATATTAAGGATCGACGGTCATTTCATGGACTATATAAATGCCCAATGTTTTGTGAAAACCACAACAAATAACACATATCAAACAAAATATTAACTCTTGGGGGACGGCTGTCCACCTGAGTGACCAAACATACTCTGTGAGGCGCAGGCTATTTTATAAACAATGACTCAGTTTGCATCGAAAAGTTGAATAAATTACATATAGCAGTGATAAACAGTATTGTATTTTGAAAATAATTTTAATTTATTTAATAGTATTTTTAACCTTTTTCTTTTCTATATGGTCTTTTTTTAATATTTAAACGACCAAGCGCTTTTAAATATGGCAAAACGACTGGTAAATTTTGTGAATTAAGCAGTAGTGAAGATGAGTTTCAAATAGACATTTATATAGACAAATTTTACGAAATTACTATTCGCACCGATGATAGTGATGAATGTAATGATGATATTATCTAACCAACAAAAAGAAGAAGTTCGACAAAATAAATGAAGAGCGGGAAGACATTAGCCAATGTGCCGATTCTTCTTCAATAATCGAGTTTGACATACATCAACAAACACCCCGACTACAAATACCAAGCAATATAAGACATCCAATAGATTATTTTACTTTATATTTTATGAATGAATTATTAGACAATATAATAGAAAAAATAAACCATTATGGCAGCAAAAAAATGACCAAATACACTGACTAATCAGTGGCATATTCTAAATTCTAAAAGAAAAAGGGATTGTACTGTCTGTTCTGGCAGAAAAGCACTAGGAGGAAGGCGGCGAACAACATTTTATTGTAAAACATGTCAAAATCGACCAGCCAAAACAATGGAAATTGTTTTGAACGTCACCATTCTTTATAAAATGACCAAAAATAAATTAATATTATAAATGTATGTCCTTCAATGACCACAAATTTTTATCAAACAAATTGCATAACATACACAATGAAATCAAGTTTACAGCCGGTAAAGTAGATTGTTTTGAAATCGGTGCCGTCCGGAAAGTGTTAAAGGGATTTTACAAAATAATAGCTACATTATACAACCAATGCAAAATATAAATTTGATGGGTACATTTTTACAGAGATGACACTGTATGTGTATAACCTAGATCTGGTACTTCGTTAGAAATATTTATTAGCAGAGTTGGAATAACTATTTATTTGAATTAACTCTTATAAAATTGCTTTTTTCAACTCAATTTACTTTTTATTTACTATTTTTTATTGCTTATACCTTTACCAGATTAAAGGTTCAGTTAGTCCTTTTTACCCCACCCTTGTGTAAGCTTTTATAAAGGTTATATAACAAAAACTGTTGAATTTAACTTATAAATAACAATACATCTTACAAAACAATCAAACAAAATATACCTAAAAGTTATATTAAGGTCTCGGAAAACTAAACAACAGAGCTCACAACAAAAAAAACTAACAATGAAAGAAATACTTCTGTTATAGATTTTCAAACATTGCCATTTAACTCCCGATAGAAACTTTGTAAGAATCAAGGTGATACCTGGTTATACATCTTTTTACCTCTACTTTCAATTATTGTTGTTAAAAGATTCTTAACTTTATTCGTTTTCGAGATAACGGTGGTGGAACTTTTTATCAGCAAACCTTTGAGCCCCGCTCTGCCCTATTATATAAAATATTTACAAATTTGTTAAATGATATACCGTAAAAATATTTATATATTTGTGAAACATAATTCTTATATTGTGAAAACTCTTTTAACTAAAAATAATAAATAGGTTAAGAGCCTTGTAATGTCTTATAAAGTAAATAAATAAATGAATAAATTTTATGTATTTCTCTTTGTGCATTCAAGACATTTTGTTGAAACAACAATTTTTTACAATATTATATACAAAATAACACATACCACAAAACAATGATTTAAATTAGCACAAGAGTTAATCTAATTTATTTAAATTGTAGTTTAAATATTTACAGAACACATATTTAATTCTGATTATACAAATAAACGCTGTGCACATGTGTAATTATGAAATTGAGGTCATTGCACATTCAAGGACTTGTGTGATATGTATTATATATTTAAATCATTAATTATTGTTTATAAAGTATAATAATCGTATTCAAAACATTTATAATTATTTGTTTATATTTGTATATATTGGCAGACAAATTAATTTTGAAATATCAATATGAATGGATGATAGAAATAATATTTTGAACCATTGTAATGAGTTCAATAATAATTTTGATGCGTTGCAAATTAACATAATAATAAACAACATTGTAGTATTAAAAGTTCTTTAAAATTTTGGAATGGAGTATAAAATATAATTTTTCTACTTCAATTTGGTAAGCAATTTAAATTAGCTATTCTCTTGAAATATGTAAAACACTACACACATTTTATTATTAGTCATTTTTACATCTTCTGACCATTGCCATGAAATAATATACAAACAAAAAGATTTGAAAAGTGATCATACGAATCAAAATAAATTCCAAGCATTTATTATTTTATTCTCACATTTCAAATATTAAGAATATATATTATTCAATTATTAATTAACCAAGTAAGGAGTAGTACTATAAAAATTGAGTAAAATCTACTCAGGTACTTTTTTCTGTACTTCTGTAGATTATATATTACATTTTGAAGTGAAAAGTTCAATAGTATTAATAAATTTAGTGTAACAAAACACTAGTTTTCTAAAATAATATCAGACAAGATATAGATTGATGCTGAGGGTGCTGATTTCTAGTACACCAACAAACAGAAGTTTTGAAATGTTCTTCTATTGATGAATTTTAATGAAGTATAAGAACATTGAACAAAAGGGCTTTTATGAATAGTATTTGAAATTCGCATTTATAGATGAATATATTGAAAACTAGACATACTAGACCAAACTTCAGAACTAAAATAAAACTAAAATAGTTATAAAAATGAAGTTCCAACTAATAATAAAAGATTTTATGTGATACCCATGCTAGCAGATGCGCTGAGTCATACAAAACACGGGGTTTATTTTTATCCGTCGGGTGAATGCATTTTAGGTTTGTTGGTAGAAAGTAATGAATTTAACATTTTTAGTTGAAGAAACATTTAACAAAAAACAATAAATGTTATATAAACAACTAAAATAAAAAATTGTTTTCTGAATCATTCGATTCGGATGTTCGGTTTTCTCAAAAACTGCGATTTTTAGCACTTTTTGCTCTGTATCTTGCGAAATGACTGGATTTGTCTTTACCAAAAATAATCAGCAAGTCTCCTTGTCGATAGGATTCGAATGTTTTTTCGATCATTCAAATCGGTTGATCCGTGCCCCCGAAATCGTGGGCGAAAAATTGCATACAAAACACATTCTACACACATGTATTTTTTCTGAAGTATACCAAAATGTTCAGGAAGACTTAAAACGTAAAAATATGCAAAAATTTTCATTTTCGATTTTTAGATGATTACTATAACTTACCCTATGAGAAGTTAGTTAACAATCTTAAAATTGATTAAAACTTTTGGGATGTTATATGTATGAAGGATAACCATATTAACCACATTGAGTCGTTTATACATAGAAAAATCAATAATGAAACTATAAATAACTACAAAACAGGTCCAAACAGGTTGATATTATATTATTGGAGTTTAGAGATTTGTGTGTAGACAAGATATTTTTATGGGGTGATGATTTCTAGTACACTAATTGTGACTGAAACTGCAACACTATTGATAAATTTTAGTTAGAAATAAAATATTGAAAAGAAGGGCTATTATGGATAGATATACAATTGTGTTTTGCCCTAAATAGAAGAATTTTACTTTTTTTATTTAATTATCTGCACACAAAAAATATTGTTTAATAATATGAATATAAGCAAAAAAAATCCTTGATCTACATATATAAAAGTTACAATAATAATTATCTTCATATTAATTGCATTAATGGTTTGCCTAACGGTAGTAAAGTGCAGCAAAACTAAAAACTCACCACTATCAATGCAAGGAATGAGTAACAGCAGCAATGTAACGTATCCAGAATCGGGGAACATTGTTTTGACACTAAAATTATCACTGCATATCACAAATATACACTATTATTTATAAGATAAATAATAAATAGCCATTTTATAAATTACAGCTGACATATACACAAAACCTTTGTCTGTTTTGACATGAGCGCAGGCGCATGTACAAACACAATAGTTAGATATTTAATATATATGAGTATTTGATAATCAATCGAGCACAATACCACCTAAATCTAAACATATTCACATACTGAAACACATCACTAGAACTAATTCATTCTTATAATAAAATTTATAATATCATTTTTTCAGCACCAAAACACTTAGCACGAACACACAACTATCTGCCAAGCAAGGGGGCGACAGCATCGCTCGCAGCCATCGCTTGTGTAGATGACGGAAATTGGCGAAGTTAGCTTCGGTAAGGACTCGGGAGTGTTTCTGTCCCTGTTCCTCTTGTGGGAACCTCTTTCTGTATGTTTTTCTAATGTAACCAATCGTGGCATCTGTTGGTGTTTTAAAAACATGATAAGTGAAATAATGATAATGATTGGGGCAAAATAATTTAAAAAATTATAGTCCTAACAGGTGAAAAGCTACGAGCATCACAGAAACGAGAAAAATAAAATAAACCCCTGTAAAAAAATCTCTATTTGTAACTATTTCGTATGTATTAATTATAAATATTTATAATTACATTTTACAATATGTTTACAATACAAATAATAAATAAACAATAATCACAATTAAAAACTGCCATTACATTTACAAGCAGCCAACTGTTAAAATATTTACGCTAAAAAATTTGTTATTAACATTTTGGTTCTTACATTGGCTATTCTGGAAACTGACAGCTGCGCGAAATTATCATCTGTCAGTAATGGTTGTATAAGAGAGGTTATTTAAGATTGTTATATTTTCATAAATATCTCGGACATGGCTACTAAGTATAAAACAATATATTCGATATATATTGATAGCACATTTACACATATAAATATTCTGATTTACAGGTTTATTGTAAAATGTGGTATTGCCGGGGGCATAGTTTATCAATCAGTTGACCAAGGACTATGGGGTAGCAGTTCTAGAACAATTGAACTTTATGAAGATTTATCTAAACTCGTGGAACCAGTAACCAAAGAAGTTAAGCAAAAGATTGAGGTAGCCTCTTCATACTGCAAAATATTCTCCTTCCGCTAAAACTTAATAGAGTTTTAATTCTTGACCCAACTATTTACTTTTGTTACCTTTTTATGCTTAGACATAAAATCCATGTCAAGTTTTAAGAATAATTATACCATTTTGTCAAAAACATCATCAAACTGGTTATTGCAATATTTGCCCACATATTTCTTTCCATTTATTAATTATATATAATGTTTACAGCTTCCAGATTTGCCTACATCTGGTGAAGTTGGTTTCATTGCAACTTATTACTGGAATGCAGGTGTGAAAGCGACATTTGCATTTTTAAAAGAATTGCCAACGAATACTGCTCGATTGGGATGCAAATCTTATAATTATATTGTAAATCATCCTGAAATAAAAAAATTGCAGGAGCAAACAGAAACAAAAACAGAAAAGAATTGATATGTATATAGAAGAATTTCATGATTATGGATTATGTAGATAATATATAATAATAAATGCATATAAGATCTTAAGATTTATTTATACTTGAACTTATAATTAGAAGATGAAATATGAATCAAAACAATAAAATGTTCTTCTATAACTTGATCTTACATTAAAATAGGGATGAAACATATACTAAAAGGGTCAATTATAAGCTTGTCTTAACGATAAGTTTTGATATAGATTAATATAAATCTAAATTTATATAAAATTTATATATATATATATATATATATATATATATATATATATATGAATGGTACACATAATTTAAAATCTAATTGAGAAGCTTCAAAAAATATAGTTCAAATGCATCTCTTATAACGAGCCATAGCAAATTCCAATTATTTGGTATTTAATAAAAGATATGATAGAGAATGAGTCACAAAATTTACTGATAAAATCAGTATCAGTAAACAACTAGGTACAAAGGTACTCTTGAACCTCGAACACATTTAGAAAGGTCAATCACGAATGATGATAAGTATGCATTAATAAATGAATGATGTGTCAGTATATATTATTCATATTTGCAAATAATAATGATAATAATAAGCTGGTATAGCTTATAGCTAAAGAATTTTCAAAAAGTTGCTCATATGAGAGGAGTCCTCATTTATTTATTAATGGGGTGTCCCTTAATGTACTCATAGCTAGCTCAAATCCATTTTAGATTTAGCTTTGAACTCCTAGGTGTAAAGATGACTTGGCTATGCATTAATTGAACTAAACTGCTTCAATTAATGAGGAAATGACGAGATATTACTCGAGACATCTGTGGATATGTGGGCGCTACGTTATTCATAATTATTACAGGTTTCTGTAGAGCAATAAGATAATTTTGCAAAATAAATAAAAAAGTCTTAATTCTTGTTATTGCGTCATATGATTAATGTACTTAATTATGTCATTATTTTAAATTTATGAATAATTCTTCTTGACAATGGAAAAATTTCGATGATATAATATTAGTGATTAGGGAGGGATCTTTGCGCACAGCTTAGCAATGTTAGTGACGCGGCTGTCACACGTGTTCAGATTTAGTTCTAAACAGTTGAACGTCGGCCGCTTCTGTTCGCAGTACAAATATTTTAGTTTAGTTACTGTTAGAAAATCACCAAAAATGTACACCATCGAAGAACGAGGAGCACCTAACAGCCTTGATTACAGGATTTATTTCCGTAAGTTTCCTAGGACATTTTATGTTAGAAATTGCACAAAATATTTTTCTTGTTCCACAAATTCTAGAACTTTCAAATTCCGTGATGTTAATTTGCTGGAGAACCGGTGTGTGGAGAAAGTAATAGGATATTGGCATTTTGATTCAACTTTTACAAATAAATGCGAATTTGCACGAACATTCTGCACATAACCTTATTTTTTAGTCCAAATTATCAATACTCTTCAGTTCTTGCTTCAATAATTTATTTTTTTATTCTAAATAGTTATCAAGTATATTTATAGTTATATAACATAGCACATTGATGAATGTCGCTTAGTAATAGTTATTGCAAATACTGATGTGTTAAGGAATTCCTTGAACAGTTTATGAACTCTTAACGTTTGGTTAAATTTGATAAAAATATTTTAAAGGTAACGAATTCTATAATAAATTAATGATATTAACCGACTAAATTATAATATATAACATACATCTTTATATTTAGATCATCTTTTAGTAAGGCATTTTCAAACGGTGACCCTTGTGCACAGATTCCTAATGCTTTGTGCCAGATCATGCTTTCTTTCAAATGTTTTTCATCTAGTTTTGAATATTTTTTTAAATCTTCTTCATTATATCAGTAATAATTAATTACTGTGCAGTATTCTTCTTTATTATATCGGTAATAATTAACTATTTTTGTATAATAAATAATCGTTTCCTTCCAGGTGATGAACATGGCCCCATTTCCCCGCTTCATGACATTCCCTTGTATGCTGATGAGGAAAAAAAGATTTTCAACATGGTTGTGGAAGTACCTCGATGGACAAATGCTAAGATGGAGGTTTGTGTGCTATTGATTTTTTATTTTTAATTGGTATTGATTTGTGTAATTGCATGGTTTGAGTATTTACTTAAGTTTCTTTATATTTGTTTAGTAAAGTGTTTTACATTCCAGCAAATTCTAATTATATTATGTACATTTTCTCTAATTATATATATATATATATATATATATATATATATATATATATTAACAATTAAGTTTCAATGTTATTATTAAATCTTCAATATTCAATAACAATTTTGTTGTAATGACATTCACTAGATGTTTTCAAAATATATATCGAATATTTTAACTCGCAACGTAGCAAATGTTTTGGGAACAGTAAATTAAACTCATTTTATTTAAATATAATATTTACATTAAATGGAATTCAAGTTTTAAATTGAGATTTAATTTTGTTCAAAATAGAAATGTAATAGAATGTACTTCGGAATTTGATTAGAAACATCTGTTTTTACAATGACTATTATTGTTTTAAGATAAATTGTTAATTTTTATTTTTATCTAAAGATCTGTATGAAAGAAGAATTAAACCCAATTAAACAAGACATTAAGAAAGGTAAACTCCGATTCGTTGCCAACTGTTTTCCCCATCATGGGTATATTTGGAATTATGGAGCTCTACCACAAACTTGGGAAAATCCAAATCATCTCGATGATGGCACTGGTTGCAAAGGTGACAATGACCCTATCGATGTTCTAGAAATTGGTTATAGAGTAGCTAAACGTGGGGAAGTAGTTCAAGTTAAAGTTTTGGGAACAGTAGCATTAATTGATGAAGGTAAATAGATTGCTTTATATTTAAAAATTCCTCTTATTTAATATTAAATTTGTTTTTAAAAACACATTAATTTAAAAACTTATTTATATTTTTAGGCGAAACTGATTGGAAAGTTATTACAATTGATGTCAATGATCCTATAGCTGATCAAGTAAATGATATAGCCGATGTGGAAAAATTCTTTCCAGGATTATTAAAGGCGACTGTTGAGTGGTTCAGGGTATGTCGAACAATAAATTATAAATATATAAATTTATCTTATACAATTATACAAGATAATATTATTTTAGATTTATAAAATACCTGATGGTAAACCGGAGAATCAATTTGCATTTAATGGAGAAGCCAAGAATTCTGCATTTGCTCTAAAAGTAATAGATGACGTACATAAATTTTGGCTTCAAATGGTTACTAAAGAAGTTGATGGTGGTGGCATTTCATGGTAGGATAGTTAAATATGATCAGAAAATTTATCAAAGTTGAATTGTTTTATTTATCCATATTTGTTGTTGGCAAAATCAATCTTGATAAAGATAGAGAAAAATTATATAAATATCAACTTTTCAGAGATAAAATTATCATAATTTATTATTTCTAGTGAGCAAAATTTCAATTTTTAATGTGTTTTCATTTAACTCCATATTTCATCTTGAATCATTTATTTGAAATTGCAGTAAGAATGCTACAATTGACTGCAGTCCATTCAAAGCAGATCGAGCAGAATTATTGGCCACTATAAATCAAGCGCCCGAATTTGGGAGTCCTTTGCCAATTGAACCAATAGGTATGTATTTTTCTTTGGATCATTAGATAGTTTTAAATTGGGAAATAGCTTATTAAAAACAAAAAACATGCATACCTTGAAATTAAATTGTAACTAAATACTTGATCTAAACCCAAATCTTCAAATTCACATAATTGTTGTGAATGGAGCATTAAGCTAAAACATATAGAAACAGTATAGTTAATTCATCTAATATTTCTTCAGCAGACATGGGAAGTAAATAGTTCATTTAGATTTGTTCATTGTTCTTGTAGAATTTATATCTATGTAAAGTGAATGTTTTTTTTTGTTTGTGTTGCACCTTTCCAGATATTATTTAAGTCTTTTATTTGTTTAGCTATTTGAGAAAATCTTTTATATTGTTTATTGAAGAATCTTGTATGTAATTTAAAAATGATAAGTATCTTATCTGTTTATTTTAGATTTAATTGAATTTTCACGTATGTTAAAAATAGAATATTTCATTACAAAATCATTTTTAATGAATGGATTTGACACATGTTCAAACTCTACATAAGTTAATGCAAAATACATACAAGATTTTAACACTTACCTAACTAATTCTTAAATTTTATTCTTATAATACTGAATATTCATATACCTGCACAGAAATTGATACACAAGTTTATTAACTAAATGTTTTTTTGAAGGTCATCTGATCTTGCAGAATTTTTACTCTAGTTTGTAAAAACTAAATGTGTGGTTATATGAAGCTTACTTGGTCTTATTTTTTATTTGTGTTGATTTAATTTTTTTGATTTTCAGTCGACAAATGGCTTTTTGTTAACCTGGAGAAAAGACGCTTTAAGTTATAATATTTATTGTTACTGTATTGATGATATTGAGAGCTTAATTTGTATTTTTGTGGTTGTGTGTAAATAATGAATTTTAAAACTTACATTTCTTGTTCTTTCTTTACAGTGGACAAATGGCATTTTGTACATCTAACGAAGTTTCCTTGAACAATTTTTCTGTTGCTTTCTATATAAAATACAAATTTCAAACAAGGTCTCATTTCAAATAGGATAGTATAAAATTACCAGTGATTACAGTGTTAGTTTAAAATCTTATTTATTGCTTTGTAAATTGATATTAATAAAAAGGTACATGTAATTGATTAATAGGGGTATTTTATGTTTAGCAAAGTCTATTATAACTTACCTGAGAACTCCACTAATCCATCCCATTCCTTTTATCTTATCTAAAACCCTAATAGAATATTTTCTAGTAGTAGATTAGTAGTTTTGTGCTTTGTCTTACGTCCATAAATTTTTGCCGTTGCACGTTTAGGATACTTTCTTTAGCATAGTGGGGTATATACCAGTGAAACGTTGTTAGCAATTAACCATGTTATTAATATTAATATAAGGGAATTAAGTTATTGAAACAAAATATACATATCAAGGTAATTTCTTTAGAAATGTTATGTAAATGTTGAAA